GCCGTCCCCGGCCCCGCGGCGCCCCTGCCATGCGAGGTCTAATGCTCGGGATAGGGGTGCCCAGCAGGACCTCGTGGCGCAACGGTAGCGCGTCTGACTCCAGATCAGAAGGCTGCGTGTTCGAATCACGTCGGGGTCATAGCTGTTTTGCGCTTTTTTTCCTTTCTATTTCCGCTCTTTATCTTCACTGGCTTTGTCACGGAGAAAAGGGAGGGACGTTAATTTCTTTTGTGTGGGTCTTTTTTTTGTTGTTATTTTCCCTAAAGCTAAGGGTCTCCTCTTTTTGCTTGAGCCCGAAAGGAAAGCAGAAGGAGACCGTCTGAGCAGCGGCACCGACGCGGCAGCCCGCGGAGAGAAACACGAGAAACAGGACTGTGGAAAGCATATGGCTTTCAAATTTCGCCAGCAGCAGTTTGAGGGAAGTGCCAGGACGAAACGGTGCCACAAGGGGAAGGGAAACGAGGACGCTGCTCTTCTTTCCCGCCGTTGGCACCACCACTGCCTCCAGCACACTCCACGGTACCCGGAGAGGCATTTTTTTCCGTTTGTTTTAATTGTTAATTAATTTAAATTAAAAAAAAAAGTTTTTAAGGCGTGTTTCCCCCATTCCACTTGGATAACATCTTGCACTTGTGCACCAGTAGCTGCATCACAATGGGAGTGATGGTGCAGTGTTGCTGCAGTTACCAGTGTAACCATAAAGATCCCGTTGGAGAAAACAGACGTGTTTATGGTGTTTGTGTATTCAGGACTTTCTAATGTCACGCTTAAACACAAAAGGCAAGAACGTATCAAAGACCTACTTCAAGACTACCCGCTGTGTGGAAATGATGAGAAAAAGTCAGAAAGAGGTATGATTTTAAGTGGGACAGAGGCTCAAAAAATGTCAGGGAGACCCTGTTTTTAGCACAGAAGCTCAAATGAAAAGGAGTGGAAGTCAGGGCAAGGGAAGCAAGTGGTCGGGATGAGCCAAAGTGCTGAGACAGATGCTGGGTTAGGAGCCCTGAAGGAAAACAAAACCCTGACGGGGAGGGAGAGGGGATTGGGGTGCAAGGGAGGTGCTTCAGAGGGTTTAGCCTGTAGCACAGTTTTCTCAGAGTAGCCATTTTCAACACACCGAGGTGCCAGAGGCAGAAAGGCACACAAAGTACTTAGTTTTGATCTAGATATGAGATAACGAGTCCTAGAAGTAATACTTTAGTTATTTGAATGGACTGGAAAGTTTGACACTTAATGAAATTTAATTAGAGAAACAGAATTGTTTGTCAAAGGCCTGAATTTGAGGGACAGAGAGAAACATGCCAGAGATACAATTCATAAGTTTGTAAGAACTGTGTTGTAAACCATGGCAGAAAATAAAAAGAATACAGAAATCTTAGAAACCAGACTCAGCAGAGTTATCAAATTTTGTGCGGTTTTTAAAGATAAATACTTTTGGGTTTATGGGCTAGTATTTGTTCCATATACCCTTAAAAACTTTCAAATCGAGAAATTCTGCATGCATCTTAAGTGCTCTGTTCCAGTGCTTTGCTATCCTGTTAGGAAGCAACTATATGTGGTTTAACCCTGATGTCTCTTTTGCAGTAACTTAAATCCAGCCCTCGTGTTATTGCAATGGAGAACAGTTTATTCCCTTCCTTTTTATAGGTACTGCTTACATATTTGAAATGTGTTACGCTCTCCATAGCTGTTTCAGAGCAACAGACCATGTTTGCTGGGCTTCTGATTATTTGTATCACTTGCCTCTGGGGTTTTTCCAAATGAGTTGCATTTTTACATGCCCGGAACTGGTGACAGTATTTCAGCTGACTCATGTTTTACCAGGTCTGAATAGAAGAGGAGGACTGCCTCACATGCTATGCTCACTGGACTTCCATTTATGTGGTTAGGTTTGTTTTGGTTTTTGGGTTTGTGTGTGTGTGTGTGTGTGTGCATAATCTGTTAGATGCATTTTTTATTGGATGTGTAATCTGTTAGATGTTTCCCTGGTCCCACAAAATATCTTAGGTCTGTCTCTGCTTTACCATTCCTCAGATAGATGGATGTCAGATGTGGCAGCAATCTGCTTGCATTCCTGTACTGCTGCCAAAGCAGGTGCGCTGCTCTAAGAGTTCCAGATTGTTGCCACACAATACCTCTGGCTTGCAGTAAGGGGGTCAGCTAATGACAGTAGAGAGTATCCATTAATAGGAGTTGAAGTTTTCAGGGTGTGGTTTCATGCTAATATACCAAATGCAATAATGTGGGTGCAAGTTGTCACAAAACAGTCAGTCTTGCTCTGCCCTGTCCATCCCTGCCTGTGTGTTTCCCCCACTCCACTTGGATCACATCTTGCAATTGTGCAGCAGCAGCTGCTGGCTCAGCATGCAGATCTGGTGACACGACAACTAGATCCGACACAAGAAAAGTGTCAGGAGCGCATGGCCTGGGACAGGATAGAGAACAGGATCATCCCTTTTAACAACAACTACCAATGGTTCAGCTAAATTTTTTGTCAGTTGTTCTTTGGAGGGAGAGTCTACTGTCCCTAAATCAAAATAATCTAGTGCTGATTCAAAACTAAGTGAAAGAATTAAATGTGCCTTAGCTATGTGCAAACTCTCTCTCTCAATTCCCTATCAGTAAAAGGGGGATAAGAAAATACTCTTTAATCTCGCAGCTGTTTTGTCAAGTTGACTTTATTAATTCCGAGGCACTCAAGTTCGCTGGTGCGTATTTGTCTCTCACCAGCCTTTCTACAGTGTGTGTACATCTGTGCTTTTGTCCCTTTCTAACTTTTAAATGCTTTGTTTTGTAACCTGACTGATCTTTTAACACAGATGTTTTTACTTACAAAATTGTAACTAGCTAAATATAGACAGTAACTTAAATCCACGTACAGTTCAAAAATCTTGGAGCTGAAGTAATAGCTTACATATGGTAAATATAGCTGCTTCACTATCTTTGTGTATGATAAAAATAGATATCCAAATAATTCTTGTTTGGAAATTATTCCGTGTGGGAAACTGCCCTGTAAACTGTCCTTTTCATTTCTGTCAGCGTACCTAAGCAGGAGTGGATACTTCTGGTTTGAATCCTTTTTGGTACAGATCTTTGTCTATCACAGTGTCAGCAGTAAGATGTATTAACAGTTACACCATTCAGTTGTAGACATTTCTTTCCCTGCCCAGGAACAGTCATATAGACCACGCACAGCGCTGGGCGCCCCTGTATTCACAGCAAAGGCAACCACCCACCCGTCACCACGCTGGGCGACAGACACAGCAGCATTCATCCCAGCAGGTGCCAAGGTGAGCACATTCGCCTGGTCTCTTCCCCTGGTAAAACTACATCCACTGGCAAATTCGGCAGGAGATGTAAGAGAACTGCTCTAGAAGCTATATACTCCATTATAGTAAGGCATGCTTTTTTCTTACCACTTTGCCACTTCAACTTGAATTATGCTTTAAAAGAGACTTTTCTGATAAGAGCCAGAGTTATTAAAAAGCCACCTAATTTTTCTAAATTAATCAAGAACATGGAGAAGAAATGAGTGATTCTAGAAAGTATAGCTACACTGTGCCATAATTATTAGGCAACTGCTTATTTTATTTATAGTAATGCTTTCTGGTTTCTGTTGCTTTTTTCAGAGGGAGTATTATTTTCATTGTGAAACTAGCTGTGCACCAAAACTGAATTAATTTCATATAGTTTTTTTTACATTGCCTTTAGCTAAGAAGATTTCCATATCAGCTCAGGCTAACGCAAGGACATATCTGTAACACTTCCTTAAATACCTTTGCCATGAATGGATTTATAGCCTTCACAGTGTTATTATGTATTATGAGGCAAACGTTACATGGCAATGCAAGTTATACATCTGTACTTCATTACTGATTAAATGTTATCCAACCCTCCACTGAATTTAGGATACTTTTTTGAACACGTAGCTATAGAAAATTCATTTTTTCAGTGTAGCACAACCTAAACTACCTGCCTTATTTTTATGGGTGGCATTAGAGGTTAGGAATCATAAACCTGGTGAAACTCAAAGCTAGAAATCTGAGATAGTTTAGGTGGCATTCAGTGTTTTCATGTCAAAGAAGACTGAATGAAAATCTCTTTCTCACGCTCAGGAAAGCTAACAAATTCCAGACATTTGGGAGGGTCCTACAAAGGAAGGATTTTTGGCTTCTACTTTCAGCATATTTCACATCTTTAGGCAAGCTTGCAGCAGTTTTTTCAGCACTGAAAATGGCCATAATCTCATACCATTTGCAATTTTTTCCTAAACTTTCCTTTTGTCACCGTTTATATTGAGAAGAGGTAAAATGTGTCTACCTGTTTCTCAGGTAGAGGCAGGTATTCTGGTCTTTGAAAACCTTGCTGTTAGGGATGAACATTTAAGTACTGGATTGCTTCACAGAAGGCATGGCAAAACACCAGTTTTGTACTCCAACCTTTAAGACACAAATCATCTAACAGGCATATAGATCACCTCATATTTTGTTTTTTGTTTTTTTTTTCTTCTAAAAACATTAGAAGGATCTTTTGAGCTCACTGATAATGTACTCTTTCCCTTATCCACTTTGACTGCTGCCTTATGCTACAAAATGCAAGCTTTCCTTCAAACAAAGCAAACAAACAAGATGCAGATCCTCAGCTGTATTAAGGTCTAATTGTGGTGATAATTGCAGGTTCCAGTGTTAATCATTATGTATTTGCACATTTTGGCACTTTCTTGTATTACTTTCCGTCTTTACCTTGCCTGGACAATACGTGTTTTTATCAAGGAGCAATAATGAAATGTGCATGAGCTGACACAGGCAGGATACAGGAACAACCACAAAACCACATGTGAAATGCAGAGAGTAA